CCCTGACCTTCTCCCAGCTAGTCTCCTCCCACCCCCCATTCTGAGATCACAAGTGTCCAGTATTTTTTTGAAACCCATCTGGTAACCCTAGCCCAGACTCCCCTCCCCCTCGACACACACCCCCATACACACACAGACACACTGCTCAGAGCAGCTCTCTGAATACTGCAACCCCAGGGGGAGGGAGAGGCTTCATGCACTGCCCCTACCCTCAGCGCTAGTCTCCTCCCACCCCCCATTCTGAGATCACAAGTGTCCAGTATTTTTTTGAAACCCATCTGGTAACCCTAGCCCAGACTCCCCTCCCCCTCGACACACACCCCCATACACACACAGACACACTGCTCAGAGCAGCTCTCTGAATACTGCAACCCCAGGGGGAGGGAGAGGCTTCATGCACTGCCCCTACCCTCAGCACAATCTTGCAGCTCCCATTAGCTGATTTCTGGCATGCAACGTACCCCTCCTCCTCCTGGCTCACAACATTAAGAGCCACACATGGCCCCAGCAGCTGGTGCAGGGGCATGGAAGGCAGGAAGCCTGGCTGAGGAACCATCTGGGTTGCTGTCCAGGAGCTGCCCAGGTAAGTGCCTCCTAGTCAGAACCTGCATTCAGCACCACAGTCCTTCCCTCTCTTCAAACCTCTGTCCCCCTTCTCTAGGCATTATGTGGCTCTTACAGAGGGGAGAGACTTCATGTGCTGCCCCTGCCCCCAGCACAATCTTGCAGCAAGTCCTCTCTTGCACCCATACCCACACCCCAACCCTGTGCCCTATTCTGCACCCCTCCCACAGGTCAGAATCCTCTCTTGTACTTATACCTCCTCCCAAATCCTGCACCCCAATCCTCTGCCACAGGTCAGAACCCTCTCCTTCACCTGAACTCCCTCACAGACCCCAGATCCTCTCCTCAACCTTAGTGCCCAACCCTGAGCACCCTTCTGCACCCAACCCCAGTCCCCACCCCCCCTTCTATTGAAAAGTGTGGCCCTTGACCACTTAACAAAATCTTGGAGTGCCCCCCCTATCAAAAATTATTGCCCACACCTTTATTAGTTTCATTAATAGTAGTTGTGATTATAAAACTACTACTACTACTACTACATGTTTATGATAGAAAGTAAGAGTAGCCTAAATACAGAGGTCACTTTCAGCACATCTTGCAGTAAAAATAAACAACTCTAAATGTGTTCCTATTGAAATCAGTGGTAATTTTGCAACTTATTTTACTTTGCATCCATCTGCACATATTTGCAGCTGATTTCCATGGGAACAAGAGTAGTTCCTAGTGCATATATATTTATCTAAATATATACAAACTTACATATATAGGAAGAGGGAGAGAGAGAGTTTGCAAATTTTCTGTAGAGCAGATGATACAAAGTCATATGATATAACTATATAACGTGATATCATATTACTAGTTGCCTGTTCAATGGGATTTAAGTGATACTCACTGATTTTTAGAAAGGATTTGCAGGATTAGGCCCTATATTACTGTTAGAATGGTATATCATATTAACAACAGGATGAATCTGCGGCCAAATCCTTCAATTAATAGTTAGGTATTCTTCAGGCAAATCTCCTTTTGAAGCCAATGGTATATTTGCTTGAGTAAGGACCATACAGCTTGGCATTTAGCAAACATAGAAATATTATAAAATAGTAAATATTATTTTTAAAATAGCAAATACGTAATAGTATATTACAATGCAATGATCTTATATTAGGATTCTGGTGACAAATTATATGAGATTCCCTTGCAAGGTTCAAAATGTCACGAGATCTGCTGAATAGAATTACCCTTATACTACCTGGCTGATTTTCTATTATGCTAGTTTTACTGGATAAAGGAAAGATAGTGTATAGGCTGATGTAAGATATATTTTTAAAACTGTAATGAACATTGTATTGTTATTCAGTGTCATAGTTTATAAAACATGTTAGTACAGTTGTATTTCTCCAATGCATTAAATGTTATTTCAGTACAAAAGTTAAATTAATAATTTTCTCATAAAAACAAAATTGGGAGCCTCATCTTCAACTTGTGAAAATTGCTGTATTTTCATTTAAACCAATTAAATTATACTAATTGACATGAGCTGAATATTTGGTACTGTCATGTTTGTAGTGCTTTATATTTAACATAATCCTGAGCAGTTTGTGTAAACCCAAAACAGATATCTGATGGGATATGATCCGTCTTCCATGTTTAAAATCAATGCCAAAACTGGTGAACTCCGTTTGAACAAATTTGATTGGTCGATGTTGAATGTGGGTAAGGGGTTCTACAAGGCAGAGATACTGGCTATTACAGAAGGTAAGAAAATAGATTTACCCTTTGTCATTTTGTATTTTTATAGAGCAGTCCTGATCCTATTAATACTTGTCTCCTATTCTATTAAAGTGTCTGTTTCTTTGAACAAAAAGAATTAGAATTAAACTGGACAAAAGCCAAGGTTTTTTTTTCACATGGAAATCTTCAACAAAAACAAAAAGAATTTTAATTTTCATCCACAAATTTCCAGGAAATTTGATTTTGTTCAGCAAAACTTGGAAAACCAAAATAATTCAGACAAAAATGGGAGTTCAGCTTTGTTCCTTTTGTTCCTTATGTTCCTTATTCCCCTGTCTGGGCTGGAATCCCCAGGTGGACTACATCTCCCAAAATGCATCATACCTCCCTTGTTTGTGAGAAGCTATCCATCAGGGAGTCTGCGGCTCTGATGCATTATGGGAGATGTCTTCCCATAGAGACCAGCTCTCACAGAGGTCTGATTCAGCATACCATTAGTCACTGGAATATTTTCAATGAGACAACACATGAGAGCCAGAACTATGTACGTGAGTAAGGGTTCATAGGATGGGGCCCATTCAGGTTTGCATTCCCAATCAGTGCTCCTCGTGTAACGTGAGACTTCAATATACAGTTATGGGCTAACGTAAGTGTTGGATCCCTTCAACCTCACTTGTATATGAACAATATTTTTATCCTGGAAGTTGAAAAGTTATAACTCTGTCTATAACAATGCAGATCCAGCCCAGTGGAAGAGATGGCAGCATGCAGAGCATGTGAGCAGCTGCCACAGCTAAAGCCCCTTGTTTGCAGCGGCTCTGGGGACTGTGGCTTTGATGCTATACAAAGGCATTGAATAATGAATATGCAAACATGCAAATAAAATGTTACCCATTACACTAATATTATTTTATCATGCTGTATTAATATTTTAGACTGTGATATAAAAGAGGTATAAAGATTGTGCATGTTTTGACAGGCATTTACAATCCTTAAATACTTCTTTAACACCAATTATTGTTGACAGGGATTCCTGCAAACACTGCCACTGGTACCATTGTGCTTACAATCCAAGATGACAATGATAATTGTCCAGTTCTTAGTACTGACATAAGAAAAATATGTATGAGTGCTCCCTCAACAGTTCTCTCAGCACAAGGTCTATACAGCGAGCCATATGAACCTCCCTTTACATTTATCATAGCTGACCAACCTCCAAAAGGTTCATGGACTCTTAGACCAATAGATGGTAAGTAAAGTTAAATTTGTATAACATAAGTAAAAATAAAAGTCACAGTAGTGATAGAAGTAAAAACTCATATGTTTAAGAATGATAACAATGATATACGTCTACAAGCAAATCAAATGAACAATACAGTTATTAGGCTTTGCTTTGATCTCACTCCAATAGTTTTCATATTGATATTATTCATTGACTACATAGAGTTGCTCCTATGTTCAATTTGTATGAGGAAAACAAGGCTTGTTGTTTGCATTTTATTTAAAATGATTCGCTTTCAAATATATCCAAAATATAAATGTAAACAAAGATTTTATAGGACAGTTCCACTTTTTTTTCCCTGCACTGTAGTGATAGTAGACAGAGTATATATCTGAAAAAGGTCTAAAGTTAGTCTAGCAATTTACAATAAACAATAAGTTATTTGAGACATATTCTGTTCTGTGAATTGGCCAAAGAATTCTCATCATTTCATGAAAATCCCAAGTGCGTTAATTATATGGCATTATTCATTAATTTCTTGCTCAACAGAATACTTGATTTATTAAATCAGTATATTATAATTGCAAATACCATTTGCATTACAATTCACAATCCTGAACCCATTGCCACTGACTTTACTGGAGGAAGTGTTCCCTACCTTAGTTTAATATTGAAGTTAAATTACAGCATGCTTTTCAGACTCTAAATTTTAATTGTCACGGATTACATTCTGTTACCTAAGTAAGACATCCAACTAAGAAATAGAAACAGTATCACAGGACTTAAAGAATATGAGCAAATGGTCTTTCAATTATGATGTAAGTACAAGTCCACATATTTTGTAGCGGGTCAAATCACCCCCTTTGCTGGGTGAGGGTGTTATAAATAGGTCACTTCAAAATAATCTCCATACAAAGCTTAATCTCAGGGTTGGCTTTTCTTCCCATAGCCTGTTGATCCAACTCTCTAGATTTCTCATTCAGAAGAGTGCCCCTACTTCCTTTACATCCAGAATGGAGTTGGTATACCACACTTATAAGAGAGTCAAGAAGGTTCACTAGTCATCTCCCAAAGAGTCAAAACCTGCCAAGAAGGTGGGTCCATAGAAGAACTTGCCACCATGTTACACCAAACAATACAGTGTAAACTTGGAATTGAATATACATTATTTTATTTATATTACAGTAGCATCCAGAACCTCAGCTAGGATCTGGGGCCTGATGTAATAGGGACTACATAGTAAGAGTAATTATTGTCCTGAAGAACTAATCTACTTTTGTTTCTACCCTTTATCTGTTTTGTCCATTTAAACACAAAGAAGTGACGTGACTTACTCAATATCATAGTGTAGAAGATCAGCAGCAGAGTTAGGGCAGAAACCCTGGTGCCCTGACTCCTAATCCATTGCCCACTGTACTAGGCCATGATCCCAAAGTTCTTTTGTGGAGAGTATTCAAATAAAACAGCCCTTTGGAAACGTTTTTGCTGGTCAAGTTCAAGCACTTGAGTGTCTATGGAAAGGGACATATTTATATCATGTTTGAACTGAAAGTTTGCATTTCAACATGAACTAATTTTCATATTAAAATGTTTCCGTTATTCTCTTCAGCCCAGATTGTAAAATATATTTCAGCATTATTCCAGTCAGCATATCAAGGCCTATGTGAGTGAGATTAACTAATTCCCATTTTAAAAAGTGACTTAGTGATCAGAAGTAAGGATACAACTACTAATAACCTTCCTTCTTTTCAAGCTTTTCCATATATGCATATTCAGTGGATGATTGGGAATTATATCTGTTATCTACATGCAAACCTGTAACTATAAAGTTTTGAAATCTAAAAATCATATTTTAAAGCATGAAACATAACAGAAACTGACTTGCTCAGAGAGAACAGCAAAAATGTAACATTTTATGTTATGTTCATCATTTTATATCTCTTTGAGGAGAACCCTGAAACGTTTTAAACTACAGTATAAAGAAATGTATTTTCCCTTTGCAATTTCTACAACTAGATACTTGGTGACCTGATTTGGTTCAGACTTTTTTGTAAAAAATAAACAAAAAAAACCCCACCTTTTGACTGAGACCAGGAAGGTTCAGCCCCAGCGACAATTTTAGACTTAAGAGAAACTGAAAAGACAAGTTCATCATGGGAATACCATGTTATTTTCAATCTTAATGTTCTGTATTGAAAACACCATAATAATGAATTGCCACAAAGGGTATAGAAGAGAGTACATTCAAAGCAGAATTCTTAATTTACATCATTATTTTATTCTTTTTTTCCCCAAAAGATCTCTCTGCAGAACTAACAGCTCAAAAGATGGAGTTTTTAATTTATGACATCGATGTATATGTGATAGATAGCCAAGGCAGAAGATGTGAACGACCACAACGAATTCCTTTGCAAGCCTGTGTTTGTGATGATCGCCAAACATGTACTACTGGGGCTACTGAAAAAGCACCTATTGAAAGTTCTACAATTAGTGGTGGGATCACTCCTCGTGAAAATGGTTTTATAACTACTGATCCTACTATTTATACCGCTGTTTCTACTGGCGTTTATGTTGGAGATGGTACTCCTGATGTAGGACGCTGGCCTGGCCGAGGTGGAACAACTACACTTGGTGGTGGTGCTATTGCTCTGATGTTTCTTGGAGCCTTAATATTTCTATGTAAGTATTCAATAAGGTGTGCAATGTAATGATATTTCTGTGCAAAAAGTACTCTTTTACTCTTCTAAAATAATTTATATTTTTTTTATTAAAACAGAAAGGCACAGAATATCTCTGTGGCAGAAAAAGCAGCATCTTTTAAATAATGTATTTTTGTATGCAGTTTATTCAGAAATGATGAACTAGTACTGCCCTTATCATAATAATGATTATATGCTGCTCCCATTTAAGTCAATGGGAGTTTAAGCAGGATTAGAAAGAATTGTGGAAGTCAGGAAGAAGAGTCAGTAAAATCTGGGCAAAAGCAGGCTCTGAAATTTTACCACAACTTGCATTTATTTAAATGTATTTATTTACCGCAACATGAATGAAACTCCTTATTTAAAAAACATGTGTAAAAAGAACAATCCATGTTAAACTGAAAACTAACCAAAAGGCAATAAATAAAAACCCAGTTCTGGTTTCAGTAAAGATAGAACAAAAATGCCCTGGACTTCGATGGCAGAAAGACCAAAGTCCTATTATTTAAGTCCATTTCTGAATTGGTGAGTATATGATAATGAAAATTGATATTTTCTGTGAGAACAACGAGAATAGATTACTTATGTAAATATGTTCTCATTTTTGAAATATCATGCTATGGGGAGAAAAATCCAATCACACAGTCATGCTTACGTAGCAAAGGTGGACTTTAGAAATGACCTCCCACAATACCAGAATCATAAATGGTGATAATTTTCAAAAGTATGACTGTTAATGAGCATGCCGGTCAGAAACAAAGAGCTTTAACCATAAAACCCCCTTGTTTTAGTATACTTCACAGTTGTGTAAGATAATGTAAGTAATTAATTATTCTCAGCACATAAAACTTCTTTAATACTATCAATGGCCTTTTAACAACATTTTGAAATTGCCGGATTCACAAATATTGGTTACAGTTATTGTAGCTTCCCATTGAAGTATTTTATTTTTATTAGTATGGGGGTGGGGGTGGGGGGGTGAGTACATAGCCGGTCTAGCAGCTGGGAGGCTGGCAGCCTGAGGCCCAGCTGCAGGGCCAGGAATGGAGCCAGTCTGGCAGCCAGAGGCATGGAGCCCAGCCAGGACCAGCAGTGGAGTCTGGTGGTGAGCACTGGCAGTGGGGCTAGCCCCCATGAGGAGAGTCCGTCCAAGAGGCTGCAGGCTGGAGAGCCCAGAGGCCAGCCACAGAGGAGCGAGAATTGACCATCCCTGGTCTGGCAAACTCCCTCATTCAGGACCGGTCAGGTATCGAGGGTGCTAGGGAGGTCTGACCTATAGAAATGATAGGTTATTTATTTATAGGGCATATCTAAAGAAGCCCCCCATCCTCATCCCTAGCTTTTCTGTCCTTAAATTTAAATTTCCCAAAGAGGAAATGTATTTTCCTTTTTGTGATTTTCAGTATAATCAAGTATCAGAGGGGTAGCCGTGTTAGTCTGAATCTGCAAAAGCGGCGAGGAGTATAATCAATTTGTTTATAAAGTTGTCCGTCCACAGGATTCTTGAGTTACAATAATTCAAACAAAACACCCTAAAGCATAATAAAAACATGTTGAAAATCATCCTATTCAAACATCAGGCCAACAGAACAAACCAATAGGAATCAAAATTGGAAGAGAAGGTCATAAATGTGGGTACAAAGAGACTATTACATCTTATGTATCTTGGCCCCAATATTTTTGAGATTTGTATGTGCCTCCCCAAATGCCTTCATTCATATACAAATTCATACACATACACAAATTTCATATACAAGTCATTGATGGGAATATTTGCAGTTATTCAAAACACCTCAAAAACACCTATAATTCAAGTTGGCTGATTATAATTATAAAGAAACTGCTTATAATTTGTCCAACTTGATGTGTTCAGGCTAAAATTTTCCATGCTAAGTTTCTGCCTCAGGCTGATATATTTTTTTCAGTTTCTTGTTGTTGTTGAAAGTTTCAGCTACAATTATTCAGCTGTTTCTGAGAATTAGGTTAAGGGCTTTATGTACTGTTTTACATACATTAAAATATTATTATAAATATTTGATTGAGAAGCTCTAGCATTTTGATGCTGTGTTATTCTCGTGACAATCAGACCAAATTTGGCCAAGTATTAAGACACTTAAAAGCACAGTTCTCACATGCTCAGTAGAGTCTTTTAAGAGTTTGTTGGCTAATATGCAGATTCCATCTCTACTGGACATGTTCCAGCCTGGGACTGCAGAGGCTCTTTCAGAATTTTACTTGCAGTTGCTTCTCCTAGCAGCTGAGGTCCACGGTTGTTCAGCTTCCTGGCAATTTTCCTTTGCTTCCAATGATCCCATGTTAGTGCTCAGGCAACAAAGGGGAAAAGGAGGAACCAATCTGACTGGAATGTAGAGAAGTGAGGAGCAATAAGGAGAGGGGAGACAAGAAGGGGAAAAGAAGAATTGGAACAGTGGGAAAGGAAAATAATGGGAGGGGAAAGAGCTGAAGTAGGAGGGGACAGGAGGAGCTGAGGGTTGGAGGTGGATAGGTTCAGAAGGGGCTGAAGGAAGGATGCCTGGGAGTAGGGATGAACAGATAGGGAGGGCATAGGAGGGAGCCAAATAGGAACAGAGGAAGGGGGGGGGGGCAAGAATCAGGAAGGTAGGGATATATAGGAGCAGAGATTGTCAGACATGTAGCAACTGAATTGGAACAAGAGTGGGGGACAGGTTGGAGGCACAGAAGCAGAATGGTTTATAACTACTAGAGAACTTTGCCCTGCAGGACCTGGAAGAGAATGCATTGTTATGAGTCTTGACATAGTGTTTAGCCAACAACTGTGAAACCCACAGGCAAGTGTGTAGGTCATCTCGGGATCTGACGCAGTAGAGGTTTCTACCCCCATTAATTTTTAAAACTGCATTAAAAGAATGTTAAGGTTGCAAAGTCAAACTCTGACTTTGAGAAATGCCAAAAGTAAATTTGTTTATGAGCATTTAATTTGGTCCTCTTATCTGTATGAATTAAGATACAATCTTTAATTACATGACCACGCATTATTTTATCCACAGAACTTTTGCCTCATTCGGTGCATTGACTTGTCAGGGTTGCATCATGAATGAGTCTTTTATCCATAGAACTCTTGCCTCGTGCACTGTAGAAAATGGAAGTTATATAGTGAACGAGGCAGGAGCTTTCTAGAAAAGGGGGGCTCACAGTTTTCAGAGCTGGATTTCTTTTTCTGCCAGAGTTCCTGCTTCTTTCTGGAGTCATTTGGAACAATTAACATAAACAATTTGTTAAGTTCTCTGAAAAATCAGGTCTGAAGAAGTTGGACACCCAAATGCAGTGGATACTTTGACCTTAATCTCTCTGTCTTTCTCCTTGCCCCCACTCCATATTAGTTTTTCCCGCTATAAAGAGGGGATCATACTTCAACCTTATCATTTGATAACTCTTTGTGAAATAGTCACATAAGAGTACTGTAGAAATGCACGAGAAAAATTAAAAATTTGGTATTTAGAACATATATAGCAAATGGTGTTTTGAGCCACATATTGAAAGAGGAGATAAAAGCAAATATTGAATAACTACCTATTTAGTGACTGAGGAAGGGTTCTTTGGCAACTATAGCACATGATCATATAATTAAAGATTGTCTCATAGTGCCTATATGGAAGAAGGCTGAATTAAGAGCAACCTTAATTTCTTTTTGCTAGGACTTTAACAATGGCTTCAGAGGAAAATGTCTGCTCATGCATGTACACTCAAGTTACCCTGAGCACGAGTATGCTAGTTTTACAATGTTACAGATATAACAGTACTTACCAAAATCTGTGCCTAGTTATACTGGAATAAGAATGTGTTAGTAACTCCTTTCTGCTCCACATTTATTTCATTGCAAGGGAAAGCAGATGTTCTCCTGATGATAAAATAATATGTGCATTTGCAAAAAAAGCAATAGTGATTCTGAATGTCCCAGTTTTTGTGTTCCCAACTCAGAATGTCTGACGAGTCACCTACCATGCGAGGAAAAAGAAATCTATAGAACTAGCTCTAGGCGTAGAGATAGAAATGCATTTTAAAATATCACTGCTTTCCTTTTTTGTTTCTTTCTCCATTAGTGGTTCCAATTTTGATGGCAATGAGTGCCTGTTGTGACCGTTGTGGTTATAAAGCTAGACCTGTAGGTGGCGTTGGGGCTGGATTTGAGCCTGTTCCTGAATGCGATGGGGGAGCAATTCATTCCTGGGGAATAGAAGGGGCACATCCTCAAGACCAGGTCAGTTCATAGTTTGTAAAAGCACAATCATTTGTACATGGAATTAAGTCTATCGGAATGCCTAGAATTAGGTCCAGGATGGTGGTGCTTCATCTTTTTTAAATAAAGGGATTAAAAAAAAATAAAACCACAGAGATACAAATTGTTACTCATGCAAGTTTGTTCCTTGACTTACATGGGGGAGTTACTCACCAGAGTGAACATCTAAGTAGAGTTTTAGGATCAGGCCCAGACTTGTAAAGTATTACAGCTGACCTTACCGTCTATGTTAATCACGTATTTCAAAACCAAGCACAGTAAAAAAAAGAGAAAAAATGGAAATTCATCCAAAATGGTGACCTTTAGATGTCTTAGTACATATCTGAACAGCTGAACTATTATTTTCCAGGATGTCACAAGCATCTCTGTAACAAAACACGCTGGCAGTGCAGGTGAAATTGTTGAGTCTTCTGGTAAGTTGACAATAACCATCTCTACACTTTTTAATGCAAACAGCCATCTTTCACATAGAATGTGCTTTTGATATAAAAGGACATTATCTGATCTAAAATGTTTGTTTTCAAATGAGGGTCCAGTCCCACAATATTTATTAATGCAGATAGTCTCACTGAAGTCAGTGGCACTTATGTGAATAAAAGGCTACTTGTGTGAGAAAGGTTTATAGCTTTGAGTCTAGCTTTGTATTCAAGACATAATAGTTTTGAAATACTTCCCAGTGCTTTCCATCCCTAATATATCTTGTTGTTACAGTCCAGTTAGCCATTTTTTCCTTATCAAAATTAACTACTTCAGGTGCAATATAAGAAATGTAATAAAAAATAATGTTCATTGTTGAAATAATGTAATTCTCAGTAATTGCTCAGTTCTTCCCTGATTTTAAGCAATGTCTGGCACAAAGGAGGGTAGGGACTGCCAAGAAGCTGGTTTCTGCTACCCAATCTTTTGTCAGCCCAGACACAGCATCAGCTAGAACAGCCTTTGTGATCACCAGGTCCCTTAGGCTATGTCTACATTGCAGAGCTATTTCGGGATACAAGAAGTATCCTGAAATAGCTATTCTGCATCTTTTGAGCAAGCCCATTATTTCAAAATGTAACAGGCTCGTTATTCCAATGTTCCTGTAAACCTAGTTCCACGAGTGTTATGGAATGTTTTGGAATAGCACTCTATTTCAAAATTAACTTGAAATAAGCCATGCAATTTGCATAGCTCAAATTGCGTAGCTTATTTTGAGCTACGGGTATAGTGTAGATGCACCCTAGATTTTATGCTATTGGATAACCAGTTTAACCATGGTTCTTCCTTCCCCCAGTATGCTTCATATACCAAAGGATGGACAGCACAGCAGTCACCTCCACTAGGTTAATGATAGCAAAAAATTCCCTTCCACAAATGGTATTCTATAGCAGCCATTTACAAACACAAATTTCGTTACTCTCGAGAAAAATCAAGGGATGGAATTGAATGGTCCTGAGAATGGGGACTTTTATTCAGTGATGCTGAGGGAAACTTTGCCACAGTAATGACTTCAGGATTAAGAAACTTGTAACTTCATTCCCATTCTTGTCTTTAGTCCTCTTTCAAGAGCCTATGGGCCATATTCTAACACCAATTAAAGTCAACAAAAGGTGATGGGTATAAATAAGAGCAAAATTTAATCTCCCAGTATAACTTATTGCACTCACAGTCAAGACAACAGTGACTGAACAATTAATTGTTTCAGTACATGTTGACATTTGACACCAATTCATTGATTGATCTCATATAAAGATTTCTGTAGAAAAGAAAATTCCACATGACATACAGAACTTTAAAAGGAATTTTTCATTCTGCAGTAGGAATACTATATACTTTAGCTATTGCCTTTTATTTCCTCCCCCAAGAAACACTGCTTTTGAACACTTATGCACTAGCATATGCGTCTTCCTGCTCTTAACTTCCACTAAACATACATAAGGACTGATGTTCAGTAAGATTATAGAAGCACTCTTATGCATGTACATCTATTAAAGTACACTATCAGATGTACTCATGCAAGTCCCTGATACATGCACACATGCCTTTATAGGCACCTATCATGGGCAGATGAAAATCAAGGATTTGCTCAAGCACATTCTATATTGTGTATGCAAATACAGGCCCAGAATCTTATAGAAAAATCAGGAAAATTTTAAGTTTATATTTCTATGCATTTACTTTTTATTGCAATTCCACTGTTTAGCACTTATAGCATGTGCCTGTGTGAATTTGTTATTGCCATTAGCGTACACTGCCCTTAATTGAAAGCATACTAGTTCTTTTTTTGATGTTTCTAGTAATCAAATGGCAAATGATTAATTTCATTTAAAGTTTTCCTACTGTGTATTATAGAATAATATTATTTTCTATTTTCAGGCATTTATACAAATACACGTGGAGGAACAGCAATAAATACAGGAATGAAAGAAACTTCAGGGCTCGAAACAGCTGTAGATTATGGAAGATTTCCAATCTATGGGACAACTTCTGGTTATAGAAAAGAGTCGGTTGGAGGGACATTACAAGAGTATAGAGAAGGAGGAGTAAATATGGCTTTCCTAGACAGCTACTTTGCTGAGGTAATTAATCTACCTTATTTTTAATATGCCCATCTAGATATTGTGAGATTCTAATGTCACACACACATATGTAAATTCAAAGTAACCTCAATGAAATCAAGTCCATTGTATATATTCATAAAAATGGGAATAGTAACAAATGAAATATAATAAATCTGAATGCTCAATAGCATTGTGCATTAAAGTTTCCTAGTATAGGGATATAGTGTCCATTTTCATTAATTGTGAAATTGGTTATTAATATGATTTGTCACTGTCCTGGTTAGGACTAGAACTGACAAATAGCGCATAGAAACTCATATATTTAATGAATGTCACCTTTTTTTGATTGTGAATTGTCTATGAATAGATCATATAATTCTTGAATATAATTTTGCAAAATTAATCATGAATTTCTTCATCAAATAATGCTTGGTTAATGCACAGTTCATGAATTGTGAATATTATCACTTCTCACTGTCTTGTTCTTTTCTTATTGGCTCTGTTCCCCGAATGGAGGACTAAGGTAACTAACCAACACAATGTGAAATACATGCTGGCTACGTCTACACTGGCCCCTTTTCTGAAAGGGGCATGCTAATTTTCAACTTCAGAATAGGGAAATCCGCGGGGGATTTAAATATCCCCCGCAGGATTTAAATAAAGATGTCCGCCGCTTTTTTCCGGCTTGGGGAAAAGCCAGAAAAAAGCGTATAGACTGGCCCGATCCTCCGGAATAAAGCCCTATTCCAGAGGATCTTTTCTTACTTTGAAGTAGGAATAAGAGATCCTCCGGAATAGGGCTTTATTCCGGAGGATCGGGCCAGTCTATACGCTTTTTTCTGGCTTTTCCCCAAGCCGGAAAAAAGCGGCGGACATCTTTATGGCAGAGTTTTTCTGGCATACCAGAGATATCCTGGAAAAACTCTGCCACATCCAGGGAACGTGTCCGCTTTTTCAGAACAGTTTCAAAAAAAGCAGGCATGTTCTTTCGGCATCCCTGTATTCCTCATTTTATAAGGAATTAAGGGATCTTCCGAAAGGGGAGGTTTTTCTGACATTTGGCCCCATGTAGACGGGCCAAATGTCAGAAAAGCATCTTCCAAAAAAGAAGTGGAAAAAGGTATGCAAATTGTGGTTCGCAATTTGTATATCTTTTTCCAGAAAAAAACCTCCACAGTGTAGATATAGCCATAGTTGCATATTCATATGTAAAATGCAGTCTGTACAATGTTAATTAGTTACGTAAAGTAATTTAAAAATGGAATAGAAACACTAGCATGGGACTGTTGTTAGCTAACAACATGATCAATGAGTCTCATATGTTATAACTAGATAATATCAAAATTCATTTTTGGTGGCTATTTGAACTCAAATTCCATTCTTCATAAGTACTTGCCTTAGCAAAACCTTGAGAAGTTAAACCAAGTATACGAGGACAACAAATGCCAACAAGTAGAAATTTGATTAAAAATTCACATAAACATTGATGATTAAATTCTCCACTGCTTTTATCCACTTGTAGTTGTAATCACCTGCATTTTGCACTATTATTACAGTAGGTTGCATTCTGCCTGAAATCTACAACTGATAGATGAAGACCCATAGTGCACAAGTCAGTTTGCCCAATTCTGGCCCACTGGAAACATTACAGAGGCATAGCTCTGCAGCTCTTCTGCAAGAGGCACAATGGACAGAAGATCATTCACAATGACCAGATGTTCAGGGGCCTACTTGATAATAGGCAAATCACAATCTCTCCCATTATGCCTCAGATAGTCAGTGCCTCTTCCTTGCTTTTGACACTAAGCCATTCAATTCCTTGTAAAAATAATCAGTATAAAGACTGATAATATTTGATCTCATCTGATCTAAAGAAAAAAACAAGTCAGTCTAATTCTGTTCTCCCCTTTTCTCCTTCAGAAAGCATTTGCCTATGCAGATGAAGATGAAGGTCGACCCGCAAATGACTGTCTGCTAATATATGATCATGAAGGCATAGGCTCTCCTGTTGGTTCCATTGGCTGCTGCAGTTTTATCGGAGAAGATATGGATGACACCTATTTAGATACATTAGGACCAAAATTTAAGACCTTGGCTGAAATCTGCTTAGGCAAAGTCGTCGAACCCATTCCAGGTGTTAGTGCTACCTTTCCCAATATTGACAGTGATCTAAAGTTGCCACCCCCGGGAACTACGATCATTGTTAATGAATCTTCATCTATGCCTCCCCAAGTTGGTAGTACAACATTTGTTACCGAAAACACCTATGCATCTGGTGCTACTTTACAGCCTGCAAGGCCTATCCCTGATCCTTTACTCCATGGTAATGTAATGGTGACTGAGACCTACACATCCGGCTCAACTTTTCAACCACCTGCACTTACCATTGATCCTCTCCGTGCATCAAATGTTGTAGTCACAGAAAGGGTGCTTGCTCCTAACTCTGATTTGCGTGGTGTTCTAAATATTCCTGATCTAACAGATGGGGCAAATGTTGTAGTCACAGAACGGGTAATTGCACCTGGTTCAAGGCTACCACCTTCTTTGAGTATCCCTGATCTAGCAGATGGATCAAATGTAGTGGTCACAGAACGGGTGATTAGACCTGCCTCTGGTCTGCAGGGCAGCTTAAATATTCCTTCTGAGCTATCAAATGCACATAATGTGGTTGTTACAGAGAGAGTACTGTCTGGCCCTGGTGTGAGCGGCATGGGGGGCATGAGCAGCATGACTGGTCAAATGCTTAGCGCTGACTCTCATTTTAACCAGACATTTGGATCTGCTTCACCTGGTACATCTCGAAGAAGGGTAACAAAATATAGCACAATACAGTATGCTAATCAGTAAGGCTTCTATTAGTATCTTTTTCTGGAGAGATCATGATTTACACTGAAATTTTTAATACTTACTAAATATACCAAAGTATATTTTTATTATTTATAACTAGCAAATAGTATTAAAATGTGGTGATTTTTGTTTGAGTAAGAATCTCGTAAAGCTACTCAGTTTCAAAGTCAAACACAGAAACTTTGTCAATGGGGAAAGTTCAGGTAAGCAACTTTAAATATTTTCCTTTATTATTAGAAATACAGTGCTAAATACAGATAGTGGCTTTTCTTCCATAGCATGCCCTTTTGCATGTTGTCAGTGTTTAGAGTAAGAGTATCATCCATTCAAAATATCACTTGCTCTATATTTGCCTACCATATTTCTCTGGCATTATAAAAAGGGAACAGCACTGAAGCTGTGCTGAAATATTTAGGGACAATTTTGAACAGTTCAATTAGTTCAGGGTGATAGACTTATGCAGAATCTATCCAGAGCAAAACGTTCACATTGGCTAGCCAATTCCCATACTTATACAGCCAAGGTTAAATGAGAATAAAATTGGTCCTGGAAGAGTTCATTATATGTTTATAGTACTGACATGCATGAATTTTATATGGTGCCCATACTGAGGTCTTCTCTCATATTGTGACTTGTCATGATAGAATTGGTCTTTATTTAAATTGGGATTAACAGCCTATGACTGATTAATTGCCCCATTCCTGCCTCCAAATGTTGTGTGGCAATAACACAGTGCTGTCTTGGGAAAGGGTCATCAGTATGACTTGTCAAAACAACATTTAAAATCACTTTCATATGCATAAAATTAACATTGCATGTTAGCTGTACATTTTTTACAAAAAGTAATGCATGGTAAGTCATTCCTTTGCCACTAGCAATACAATGTATAGAAATAGTTACAAGCATATGAGCGCAGTATATTCTTATTACACACCATACATTTCAGTAAATGCCAAGGCATCCATCTGACTCAAAACACACCACAACTAGTCAATTTGATCTGGTAAGGGTATGAAACTATTAGTCATGTCTGTGTCTCCACTAAACTTACTACCATAGCCTGATCAGCCATGACTGCTGTCCTCAGTGACTCAGAGGCATGTTGTCATCTACTAACCAGAAGATAGTCTCCAATTTCTGGGCATTTTCTGAGTATTATAATATATCTTACTAGTTCTCTGCACTAAATAATCACAAGGAAATATCACCTTAGCTTTGTGTTCTGTGGAAACAATTGAAATCTAGTCAATTTTGATCTTGGCAGTAAAACATTTTTCAGGAGAAGAAAAACTTTTGGAAAAATATAGTTTTGTTAGAGCAAAGTACAGAGACTAGATATTTCATATAAGGTCTGTACTTTGTATTGTACTTTGAAAGTGAATTTGAACATGTTAAATGGGAAAATGCATGGAAGTGTTTAGTTCCTATTTTTCCACAAGATGCTAGCTCAGCAAAAGTCTCTATTTGCTTGATACTAAATAAATACAAACAATAAAATATTGGCACCAAATTTTGGCTGATATTTAACAAAAAGTCAGAAATCTTTTACTATCGATTGTCTCTCTTGATAGCTTACTAATTGCATATATACATCACAGAGTACATGAAGCTGGATGAACAAAATACTGAAATATAGTAAGCTATCTTGTTTTAATTCTGTATCATATGTAAAGTAGAGTAACTATAATGTATCCAACAATACTTTAGTGTAAATACAATCAAATTATTCAGGGGGCTTGTTTGCCCCTAAAACTACAAAATCTGTATTTCTTTTCCCTCCTGCTTTGCTATGGGTAAATTATTGAGGAATTTATCAGAGTTGCATTAGGAAAATCACTTGATCTCTGACATCACTTCTGATGAGTTAGAAGGGAAGAGGCTTAGTCACATGCCTAGACTAATTTATCTCATAAGACATGGACAAAGTTTTTGAGCCTGGTGTCATTTAAAGGCCTTTTATAAATATTTTCTGAAATGCAACTTGGCCCCATTGTCCAAGAGTATGTGCAAGGCTTTCTGCACTGATATTACAGTCACAGATATCAATAGTTTACTGAAGTTTACCATATAAAGCTCAAGGCTGCTTCACAAAATGGTTCTCCCGTAGTATTGTATCCAGTTTCAAACCTCACGTAAGGACATTTGTTGTATTACATATTCTACACATTAGTGATAGTGTACAGTCACTTATTACCTGATTCTGCAATCCCCACTCAAGTTGGGTATCACTTAGGTTGTATTGACCTAAATGAGATCTTTCTCACCAGCATGTCCTACAAAGAGGGCCGTAACAAGGGTGAGGTGAGTGAGGCATTTGCCTTGGGCGCACAGCTGAGGGGACACAGAAAAGACAGCTATTACACTGTCTTCACTCATGTCTCGCGCCATATCAGCACTCCTATCTGCGCCGAGGACTGTCTTACCTCAGGCACCAAATTAGCCAGTTACGACTCTGCTACAAAGTCTGAATAAGGATTGTAGGATTGTTCGCTGAAGAAGGAAAATAAGTTGCTCACATACACAGGTTTATGGTTTTATGACTTATTATTGGAAACTATAAAATTCAGTACAAAGAAATCAAATGTTGCCTTTTTCATTAACCCAAAAGCTTTAACAAAAATGACTTTGATGTGAAAGGATTTTTTTTGAAAATAGCAGTGTTCTGTAAGTAGTTCCTTAATCATCTTATGCAAATCAAAAATATTCTTCTTCATGATATTCACTAGTAGTAAAATTAGACTTCAGAAACACTTCTTGTATCTTGTATTCTTTCTTTACCCTGTTGAACAGGAATGTTGTATGTTGTATCAGTTTTTGAATTAGAAATAGTCTCTTGCATGTCTAGGAATAGAAATGGTTTTGAAAAAGGGGAAAATATGAAAAAAATACATTTATTTTGATTATATGGTAGCTGCCTTTCTTTGTTAGTAATAACTCCTGCCAACTCTTCCTAAAGAACATTAGTTTGGTGTTTAGTGAAGTGTCATGAAAGAATATCCTAGTGTAGTTTTTAATGCTTGATTTCTAACAGATCAAGCAGCAATAGCATTCTTCTCTTTCAAACTGTACTACCAAGGCATTTCTGAATATTAATTTCTCTTGCTGTATAATTTCAGCTTTTTAAAAAAAGTTTGTTAGCAAGATATGGAGGATTTTTGGTTACTACAAATGGTTGAACAAAAATGTATTTGGAAATGTAAGAAATTATTCAGTTTATTAAAAATTCTGTACAAACACTTTTGCTAGACTTATTGTTGAAAACGGCATATGCCCCCCCATATGTACTCAAACATAAGCCCATTCAAACATAAAGCTGACTCCCAAAACTTACAGAGAAAAATTGGTTTATTAAAAAAAAAAAAAAAAGGTCACTGACCCGATTATAAGCCAAATTCAGAGTGCAGACATCCAGTCCCAGCTCCTCAGGGTGAGCATCAGCAAAAAGGCTCTCTACTGAGCTGTTAACACTTCCCATGCCACGGTAAGCAATTTGTGCTGAAGGATTTTGCTCTGTGCTAGCAAATCCTTCGGCAGGAGTTGCTTCCTGCAGCTCCGGAAGATTCCGTGCATAAGATGACCCCTGCTTTTTACAGCAGGATTTTTTCCCAAAAAAACTTGGCTTATGAACAAGTATATACATATTTAGCTTCGTGTGCTTTCCTTCAGAAAGTGTGGTTTCTGCCTTGGTTTTTAATAATGTTTTATAGTGCAACGTAAGTGCTGTGCAAGTTAGAAGGGCAAAATTGAATGTGAATATATAGATTTCAATTCTGATGCAAGTCTTTCCCAGAAATACTCCCACTAAAGTACAGAGGGCTTGGAGAATCAGGCCCACAGCTTGTATATTTGTGCTTGATTCTGCATTTTTACACAGGAGGTGCTAGATCCTCAACTGGTATAAATGGTGTAATGGTGTAACACTACCTGCCCTGGAACTGCAGAATTTAACAATTTGATCTAATTCCTGTTTCTGTTGGACTAAATAGAATAGTTAATATTGGGAATAGGATGAGACCTATTACTTGTAAATCCAGAAGACTTGTGCTTACAGTTTAAAAATGAAGCATTATTAGAGAATCTTCCTATTTTATCTGAGATAATATAACAATACTCTTGAAAACTTCCTGCTAATGAATTCTCAAACACCATCATGTCTCTTATATGTTTAAACTTTTGCTTGTAAGAGCCAATGAATGGAATAGAAATAATAAGATAAAGACAAATAGCCATTTACATTTTTTTTAAAGAAGTGCTGGTTTGGATTTTTCAATCAAAATGTCTTTTGACAAAAAAAAATGCAGCTTCTGCAAAACTTTCTGCAAGAAAATTTTAATTATGCCCAAGTGTTTTGATTTTCTGTCAGAAAAACTGAAATGACATATTTTATCTAGGGTCAGGTCAACATGAATTAAAACATTTTGGTTTGGGTCAGTTCAACATTCAGCTGTTGATGAATGTGTATACATGTACAACTGTCCTGATACAGTGCCACACATGCCAATATTTGTCTTTGAGCCATACTCCCTGTCTGGATGATAATTTCTATGATGCCCCACAATCTTCCTTAAAGCTGAACCACTGGAGTACATCTTGGTAAATATAGGCCAGCCATGTAGGCCAGCCCTTACAAAAGAAGAAGGGCATGAGACTCATACGTTACAAGTCCCAGGAGACATTACAGCAATTTAAAAAGGTGCAGTTTAGTGTTGAATCAAGTCAAAATAAAACAATTCCGTTTGACAAGTGGAAACAAAACATTCTGATATTTCTGAACCATTATTTCCTGAAATCTGCATTCTGTGAAAAAAAATTTCAACTTTTCAATTCAATATGAGACACAAGTATTTTGGCCTACGCTACACTAGGATGTTTGTCTGAAATTAGCCCCCCAAAGTCAATTTTCTGAGCAATGCATCCACACTACCAAGCCCGTATTTCAGACTAAGGGGCCACGGAATTCACACTCTGTAGTCCTGCTTTTCATGAGGAGTAAGACTATTCCCAAACTTGTAAGTCTGAAATAATGTTAGTATACACTCCGGTGCCACTAATTCAAACTAATTTTCTTCTGGGAAGCCTCCCACAGCTTCCCAGGGTGCTTCCTGGGGCTCTGAATCTGAGGCAGGCTCCATTAATGTGGATGCACTACCTTGGACTGCAGTCAATTTTTCCCCATAGTGAGGACACACAACTTTGAATTTGTAAAATTGGGTGCACAGAAATCAAACTTAGTAAATTCAAAATAATCGCCCAGTGTAGTCATGGTCTTTGAAATCTTATTTCAACCAGCACCACTTTTTAAAATGCTCTGTTTGAAAGTAGCATGGTATCTTTTATTAATCACTGAATATTTTCAAACATATATACATAACATAGTGACTACCCTAGAAAGAGGGCAATACTAATACCAAGAGAAGTATTGACAGCATGTTTCCTTTATTTTCAGTGGACTGAAAAGCCTACCATTGCTTTTCAGTGTGGAAGGAAAATGAAAACACAATAAAGGATCAGATATTCCCCTTTTCTGTGCAAGCAATCCCCATGAAAATCCATGGGAGTTATGTGTGCAGATTAAGGATAGCTATGGCCCTAAATAAGAACAACATATTCCAAATGAACTGAAAACTTATGTGAAAAGAAACAATGACAAAAATATACTTGTGTTATTTTCAAAAAACAATCATATAACCATAAAAATGTCATTTTTTTCTTGTTGCCATTAATATTTAAAGTGTCATGAGAGGTATTCTTTGGAAAGGAATATGAAATTCAAAATGCAGTTAAATAAAATATAAAATGAAATAGCTTATCTAAGCAACTAAATAAGTACTCTGGAGCTGTTAACTGACATTTACAATGTAGCCTGACTTTTGATATTGATTATGCATTAGCAGAATTACTTGAGAGTAAGTTTATTTTGTATGTATTGTCTATTCATTGGCAACATTTTTGTACTTTCTCAAATGCCTTAATAAAGTGATACTAAATACATACAGTGATTGTTGCAGATTTGTTTTCAACTTGTTCACTAAAGGCTTGTTTAAAGTCATTCAAACTCTATCTGTAACAGATGGTAATTTTACTCACATAGTTTCCAGTCTTGCGATGTGTTTATGTGTATGGAGCCCTCTTGGCTTCAGCGGAGCTCTGCACAGGTGCATGGATCTATCTGTGTGGAAGTCATGGCAGGATCAATGCTCTAGAAAGGAAGCGTGATCTTGTGACTCTGGACTGGGACTCAAGAGATGTGGCTATGCAATAGACTTCTTGTGGGATCTTGGCAAATCATGTAATTTCTCTGAACTCAGTGCCTTGACTGTAAAATGGGGATGATAATTAATTCCCAGCCTCTTAGGGTATCTCTACACTGCAATATAAGACCCATTGCAATTATTCTCAGAGCCAAGCACTTGACTCAAGCTTGTGGTACTCAAGCTGCAAGTGTAGAAATAGTCGTGTGGGCATTCAGGTTCAGATTGAATGGGTAAGGGGGGAAGGTCTTCGAGACTGAGCTGCAGCCTAGTCCCAAATGTCTACACTGCTGTTTTTAGCGCAGCCTCTGCAAGCCTGAGTCAGTTGGCTTGAGCTCTGCAACTTAGCACTATGGGTTTTCCATTGGAATATGGATAAACCCTTTAGGTGCTGTGAGGATATATTCATTATTGCTTGTGTGGTATTGAATGGGTAAGGGGGGAAGGTCTTCGAGACTGAGCTGCAGCCTAGTCCCAAATGTCTACACTGCTGTTTTTAGCGCAGCCTCTGCAAGCCTGAGTCAGTTGGCTTGAGCTCTGCAACTTAGCACTATGGGTTTTCCATTGGAATATGGATAAACCCTTTAGGTGCTGTGAGGATATATTCATTATTGCTTGTGTGGTATTTGTGTACTCTAGTGCTGGGCATCATGTAAGTACCTAGGTAGATTTTCCAACCATGTCTTTCAGCATCTGAGACTGTGGGCTACTGAATTCCTCCTGCAATCTGCAGTGCTGAGTACCATCAGCTCCCATTAAAACCCATGGAAGTTGAGGGCTGCATTCAGTTTGCTTTTGGTGATCCCTCTACTTCAAGATAAGAAGTCCAGCATTGAGGTAGCTTCCAAATTATTTCGGTAGAGTTGAAAGTTTGCCTCAGATACGTCCATTACCATTATCAATACTGCAGTTCTAATATAAGACAAAAGCACCCGCAGTATCTATATTAAGTGATATCAGAATTTATGGATGTATAATGGTGCCCAACATTACTGGATATTAATCTTCTGCCAATATCATTATTTGGGGTATGCATTTTAGCACATTGATTTTACTCAGTTAATATATTACTCCACTTGTGTTGCTATCATTGCTACTATGAGTTTTTAAAACTTGAAATGTAAACAAAAAGTCCAGCCCCAGCATCTTTACTCAAGTAAAATTGAAGTTATGGGAACTATCAAAAATATTGTAAATATCATAAAATAATAAACATGCAACAAAGTAATACAAATAAATTCCAACCTGTGCATCATAGTAACTTAAACTCAACTCTCACATTACCACAAAGTAATGTAAATTGTAATATTTATTTATGTATTAAAGGTCTAATCTAAAATCCACTAATGTTAATCATAGTCTTTCCATTGACTTCAGTGGACTTTTGGATGAGCCCTTCACAGAACTGGCAAGAGTCTTCTTCCGTAACTGAGCATCTCCTAGAATTTTCCAATCCCAGAACAGGATTGAATGTATCAGAGTATCAGAAAAAGGCAAAAAAACAGAAGAGCATGCGCTCTACAGCATACAAAGCTGTGAAATCTTGAGTGTCTAGTGATTATGGTCCATGATTCTAATGCTGTTTCCACTGAAGACACTGAAAGCTTTGCCACTAACTTCAGTGGGAACAGAGTGAGAGCCATTAGGGTTGGGTTTGATTGCTTTCTGTTCATTTTGGGGAGGGTTTTGTTTTGTTTTATTTTCTTTATATTTGCAATCTAAACCAGGATTTCTTGTGAATTTCCATAAGCCAATAAACAGATTGAAATAGATGTATCCTGTAATCATTCCACACAGGGAATTTGACATAAAAATACATGCTATATTATAACTTGCAGTAGATATTATAGTACATTATAACTGTTCGTAGTACATAAAAGAAAACTAACCATTTTAATCACTACAGTAACATGATATTTTAAAAAAAGGACACTTCTAAATATATGTATGAATTTAAATATATAATAAAATATTTAGCATAATCTTTTAATATGTCATGCCTCTAAGGAAAGTAGTTGGGATCATATTTTTTTTACTAGTTTGATAAAACGTGTGCCCAGTTTGAGATGGGGGTTGCAGCGTTTTATGCTTTTCAGCTGTGATATGACACAGGCTATGCTGTATCACAGATTAGCAGTATCATGGAAAAGACCCAATAAGTCCCCTTGATTTCACTAACCATTCTATTCATGAGGATTGAACCACAGTCAACATATTAAGCATAATGCATGGATGTGACAGCCCTCTCATTTCTAATCCTACATGACATAGAGACATAAAGTTTTGCTGTATAATGTTGTAATCTCTAGCAATGTTGATTATTTATGGGGCAAGGCTCTTTCCCCGTAATGCATGCCATCTCCAAACCATACAGCTGCTGTTGGGCGTCTCATCAGTTTTCCTTCTCATACAATTGGGCCCTTTTGGTAAGATTAATTGTACATTGATCAGACATCATGGATTTCAGGCCCCAGATTAAGGGATTTAGGATTTTCTTTATATGTCTTTAAATTGTTGTATTTGTTTTTGTGTTTATTCTAACCCAACTAAGAGTAATTTCTGCTTTGTAGGGCACAACACTGACCCCCTACAGGACACTGAGAGGTCTCTATACCACCAGGTATTCTCATTCTACAGGATAAGAGTAAAGCTCTTTTCAGAGTGCAATCGTCTTCCTCCTCAAGCTTCAGTCTCTACTATTTATCTTATCTACATCCCTCTTTTTGGAGTGCAGCATCAGCCACATGGAGCTCCCAACAATTCCTAGTGTGAGGAATGTGAAATAAAGCTGAAATTCACTAATACCAAATCAAACTGAAACCCACCAACGATGTGATAAAGAACTATCAATGAAGCACAAAAGATGTAGGTAACTATTCTTTCTATTTTTTTGTTTCAAGGTTTTAATTCCAGAAAAAGAGAAATATTGGGCCTAATCCTGAGAGTTACTGAGTTCTCTGAGCTCCTCTCAATTTCAGCTTAGCATCTTGAATGAGTAGGCTCAAACAAAATTTCAGTGCACATAACGTAATACTTTCTAGGGGACAGAACGAGTTGCACTTTACTGTGTGAGTAGCTCCACTAAAGTCAATGAGATTTCTTAAGGAGAGAGCTGCTACTTAACAAGTGTAAGAAAATCTGGCCTATAGTAACAACATTATGACTTAACAATAACCATAATATAAAGTTATTTTGTAGAAAAAATGAAAAACTGAGTGAGAGAGAAATCTGAATATTTTATATTTACTTGTAACTGACCATTAGGTATTACAGAGCTCAACATTATGTTGTTTTACCTACAATTTCTTGGGGGGGGGGGGGATGGGACCAAAGATCCACATACAAGGGCAATCCAGTCCATTTTGGGGGATTTGGGTATGAAAAAAAATCAGATTCCTACCAATTTCCTATTCTCTCCCAGAAAATATTCAGATCAAGGTCCAAATTCTACCCTAAAATTTCCACCACTGAATCTTGGCAAGATGATGATTTGGGGTGATTTTGCAGTAAGTTCTAGCAAAATCTTGATATGGCTACATTCTATTTGGCTGAATGATGATGGGTGTCTCTATCTTTCACATTTGTACTCTCCTGTCCTTAAAAGAAATTAGAAAAAATGATTTCAGACTAAATTTCCAATTTCCAATGCTATCCGTATTCCTATGCCATTCTTTGCCTACTATTCAAATATACCTTTTGGAATGGACAACTTGGTCTATATTCCCATTTGATATAGAGTCACTGGGAGATGTGAAGTTAGTAAGGATCAGTATTAACAGCTTTGACATGGGACATTACAGTGATTTTTACTTTATCACTAATTGCTAGTTTATGTACTGTAGACAAAAAGATAGATTTGCACTGTGCTCAATCTTCCCTTCCGAGCAGGTTCATTTCCTAGAGAGCTGTGTTCCCTAAGGAATACCTTCCCTGTCCAGTTAACTTGGATGCTTGTCACCCAGGTATGAGCACCTGGCTTAGCCTACCCCAGATGTGAGTAGTCACAGTGAAAAGCCCTATTTTGGTGGTGCACCTACCCATGTGTGTGACTAGGACTTTTGGAGGCATATGTTCTTTTTGCGCTGCAGTATGCTGAGTCATTCTATTGTTTTTCCTAGTGAATTGTGGGAGAACTTGTCTGGTTTTTGTGGCACAGAGGGAGGAATTTTGAGAGAGTACTAGAAGACTATCAACACCTGAGTAATTTAATGGGCATCTTCACTGCCGAAAGGACGGGTTACCAGACCAAGTAAAAGTGAAACCCAAGTTTCTGTCTTCATCCTCAGTCAAGTAAGTTAACATGCATTTAAAGCATCACTTACCTGGAGTGAGACGTTTCTCTGTATGGAACAAAAGGAGAGTCAGGAGTATCACCTGAGTAAGAATGTAGGCTAACTGCAGTGAAGACATACCCTTAAGAGTTCAAGCAACTCCCAGGCTAATTCACTTTACATTAATATACTCTCTGTGTACTGAATAAATACAAAGAGTGAATTGATTTGCAGATATCAAACTCCATTTGTGAGGCATTCACAAACATAGAAAATGGATCAAATCAAAATATATATGTCTATAATAGCTTTAATTTAGCTTATTTCACTGTCTGGCTGCCCTACCTGAGGCTTGCCCAGAAAGATCATCGCTGTGTACTGTACTTAAGAAAAGACATTTCAGATAACATACAAATCCATATCAAATGACCTGGGTTGTTATGCAGCTTGAAACAACAAATGACTTGTTCTGCCACTCCCTTTTCTGTACAGTGTAAGGGACTTTCTTTTTCATGTTTTGGTAAAAGAACTTGTGTTAAAGAGCAGAATTTTGTGACGGTTTTAACAGATTTGCCAAGCAAACAGGTCCATGTTCAACACTAACTAAAATGTGTAATGTTACAATTCGCATAATTTAAATGAATTATTATTAAAGCAACTTTGCTGAACAAGGAAAC